TATTACAAATTAAATGTTTTGTTAAAATATAATTTCCATTAGATCTTGAGCTTAGGGGTAATTTGCCAGTGCAGAAAATTAATTAGACATTGTTTTGTGATATTCCCCTTAAATGGAATGCTTGAAAGATTTCTTATTTTTTCTCATGCCAGATTAATTGCCCAGGATAAAAATGTCATTTTCAACATAAAGAAGTGGGGAATATTAAGGTCTTCATGCTGGTGGTTTTCACGCTCCTTTAAAAGCATCAATGAAATTAATTTAATTGCAGTCATATGCCTCAAACTCCTGATTTGTTGGTGGGCTGTTTTCTTTACTTGCTCACCAGCAGATTTAAAAGAATACATTCATGTAAAATACTAGTTATTCCAAATTGCATAGACTACAAGAAATGCTTTTCTGAACCAAATATAAAGATACAGACTCATCTAACAAATGCTTGCACATTGTGGAGTACAGCATTTCACTGCTCATGCAGAGGTATTTATGAATAGGTATGGTATTTATGAATAGGGAAAATTATATATTTATTTGCTAAAGCCATCATTTTCATCATATGTCTTTGCCTTAGGTTGTGGTTTAGGAGTTGTTGGATTTCCAGACAGAGTCCTGTATGAATTTATTTATTTATTTATGTACTTATTTACTTATTTATGTTGCTCCACCATTTCTTAACAAACCCCTTCACGGAACATCAACGACCAAAAACCATTTACCTAGTGCTCATCTACAGTCTCACCTTTAATCTTGATGCGTGCTGTCATAAGTTCTCTAGTTTCCTACAGCGCATTAGAGAGCGTCCGACTGGCATCTTCTGCAAAGAGAAGGTGCTTCCTGCAGCAGAATTTGGGGATCTGGATGGTGTTTCAAAGAGTGATGTGGGAGTCTGTCCCGTCTATGCAATGCAGTCCTGCCCGTATGCTGGAGTTGTTGGTGTGCTGCTGAGAACTTCCCTCTAATTTATTTTTCCTTGGTCCCATGTCCAAGGCTAATGTTCTCGTTGTGAGACAATAAATTCTTTTTCTCTGCCTTTCCTTCTTTCTCATCTGGGTAGTGCTTTTGGGAAGTATGAGTGTAGTTCTCACTCTCAGTGTCTAGGGCTCGATGTTGCATCCTAAAGCAGATCTGGCAAGTGCTGCGGGTATCAATGATGGTTGAGCAGGCAGACCTTGACACTGCTCTGGGTATGTCCCTGTCACTGCAAAGCTGATGAATTTTACCCAATTCTGGAGAGAATAGAATTGGGCTAATAATCCTGTTGATTTCTGAACAGACATGAATCAGGACATGGGGCGTTGTCATCAGAGCTTTGAAACAGTCTGTCACAACCAGACCAATATGGTTTGTTTTCACACTTTCTGCACGTCACTCTGTTTTTAGTGTTCATTCCGATACTCCTGTCCTCACTCACCTATCTGTTCAATCTTTCCTTTTTTCCTAGAGAAAGAAATCTGACTCAGCAGCATGTGATTACTTTTTTCCAGTCATTTATTTGCTTTCTTCTTCAAGATACAGTAAACAGCACTCCTCTACCCTCGGGTGTGTGTTCTCCTTTCAGCAAGCTGTTAATATTTGGGCGTCCAATAGTTCCCTCCTATGTTATTTTTGAACTTCAGAGTGCCTCTTACAGCTTTTTTCATGTTATCCCGGGAACTTGGTAGCATCGGTCCCCTGGCTTTTCGGGTTGCTTCCTCCTTTGAGTCCATTTTTGGCGTATTCATTGCAGCACTAGTATGCTGTCGTAGGGACAGTCGAGTGGTTTTGACGTGGTGTTCTCCTTTCCCAGTGAAATGCTCTTTACTGTTGTCTAGCTAGGTTTGCTGTTTTGTCTTGTAGTTCTTGAGCTTGTTCTTTTATTGTTGTTCTTTGCATTGCTCCTTCCTATCTCAACCTCTAATTTTCACTTCCATAATAACTTTAAGAGTTCTTATTTTGCGTGCTGTCTCTTTAGAGTTTAATTTATAGTTTTCCATGTATTCAGTATGTTTGTTATCTTGGAGTGTTTATATCTTGAGAGGAAAGAAGTTTTTGCTGAATTCTCATTTAGGCTTGTCTTAATCTTACTCCAAGTTTCCTGCATGTTTTACTTGACCTTCTAGTAATGCTGTCAAGATCCTTGAAGATGGATGCTCCTGCAGTCTGCCAATGGGCTCCTCTTGAAGTTCAGGAGCCAACTTGTTCATCTTCCTCTGCTGCATGCTGACCCCGCAGAACGGCTCTTGGTTCCTATTTCCTGAGGATTTCATCTGCTGTAATATTTCATAACATGACCTTCTATTTAGTAACGATAAAGTTCAAGGTAGCTTTTTCACATCCTTATCCTAATAAAGGCGTGTGTCAAGATGAAATAAAACAAAGCAGGCCCTTCAGGGCTTGAGCAGCAGGACTGCTAAAAGCCCGTTTTAAGGAAATGAGGTCTGCACATGGTGATCCTGCTGCCCTGTCTGATGACTTTGGTCTTGTTAGATGATTTAGACCTAGTTTTACAGTAGGTTTAGGAAATCTGAAGGATGCGTGCCTCTGGTGAAAATGAAGAGTAAAGGAAAAGTAACTCCCCAGCATTGGGGAAGAGACCCTCCTTCTTCCTGGTCTGGCTGGCAGCCATTATGACCGGTCGGTGTGTTTTCTAGCTGGGCGACAGGTGGGCATATCTCTGAGTCCGCTCACAGAGCCGTTTCCTCACCCAAACAAGGAGGCAATGCATGGAAGAGCTGGAAGTGTGTGGACAACCAGCCTGAAGAAGATAAAATAGCGGCTTTGAGTGGGAAGGATGAATCTGCAAAGACCATCTTTGATAGACCTGCCACTCACAAGCCAATTGTCACGTTGTTTTTCTCGGTGCATTTTTATTAATTCCTTTGTTAATAAATGTGCTTAGTGATGTATGGAGTGCTCTGCCTACCCTACTAACCCGTGCTTCACATATCAAAGAACAGAAATCACAAATACAAAAATTCTCTTCCTAGAAATGATGTTTTGTTTCCTTTCCATGTTCACATGAGCCGCACTCACAGGATATGTGCCATCCCCTTTTGGCTTTCTAGTTCTTTTAAGACTGTTTTTCTGTTTTAGTTCCATGCTGATACATGGCTTCTGTTAAGTTACTTACTTTTCTAGGATTTGCTCCCCTTAAATCCCTTTTATTTCCAAGTCTTTCAGCTTACAATATTCTTTGTTCTGCAGTATGACCTTCGGGGTTTTTTGTCATGGTTCTTCTGACTAGGAACTGCAGTTTATTACTCTTGAGATACGATTACCTCTAATGCCAGCTTGCAATCTGTGTGGTTATTAGTCTTGGGACTGCTAACACTTTCAGCCCCAAAGTTTTGCTATCAATTGATGCTGTTCACATTCGTTCTGTCTGTTAGATATTTGGACTGCTTGCCCCTGGATCATGTACAAGTGGCTGCTTTCTCCATCCCAGCCAGTGTCTCTCTGTCCTGTACAAATGCTTGTCCTGTCATCTTGATGGTTGTTTACCACAAAATATGGCTCAGATCTCCCAGTGGCTGTCTTCCCCGCAGTTAGGGACTGTGCTTTGGATGCTCTGAACCTGTAGGAACTTTCTGATGGTTTGCTCGTGTGTCCTGTTGATGTCCATGCTGCCTTCCAGCACCTGTTAGAAATTAGTTTCTTGGATCTCCTTTCTCCCCCAGCCTTCCTCCAGTACGCTTTGTGCTGGTGCGAGTGACAGCTGTAATGGCACGATGGCCTGTGCCAGCATTTAGTACACCTGCGCTATGATTTTAATGAACAAATTTCATCAGGCAGTTCTCCTCTGTCAGCTGGTGGGATGTCAGAGTACAGGGCTTCAATGTTAAGTGTGGTCTGTGTTCAGCCTCTTGCTTCTTCAGCTTCCTTTTCTCGCTTGTCTCAGCAAGACAGACAAAATCATCAGTATTTTCCTGAACGGCCTCCTATGATGACACAACCGTCCTTGTTCAGTCTTTCGTTACCAGGAGCATACATATGTTTTTATGCTGAAATCCTTTGAGGGGTTTTGTCTTCCCGTGCAGATGTGGCCCCTTGCGCTGCCCTGTCCGTCGGGCAGGGCTGCGTGATCCCCAGCCCGCAGCGGCAATCCCGCGGTGCTCGCCAGTGCTCGGCCTGCTGGTTATTGCCCTTCTTTCATCGGTTTTATAAATATTATTTCTAAGGATTTTGGAAGGTTTTTTTTTTAAATATTCCACATCATTAAAGTATTTGCATTAACCCCACACTTGACTTTCTTACACTGAAACGGTGCAGTTAGCGGGGACTAGTATTGCCTGAGTAACATTGGCTATGAGATACAGGCATATGTCTATAAGGATGAGCTGCCAAGATGTAAATTAAAAGGAAATGGCAAGCTGAATTCCAGCGCTATTGTTTTTTAGTCTTCAGTGATGTCATTATATTCATAAAAGTTTAACTAGATTGGGGATGCGTACATCTTCTGAGCATATTTGTGATAGTTTTACAGAAGATGTGTAGAAGTGTTTTCTGACTGAGGCTTTAAATTGTGGCTTTTTTAGAGCTTTTACTGTCTGTTTGGAACAGGCGTCAGAAATTTGTCTCATAAGTCCATTATTTAGAAATCATTTTGCCTATTCATTTGCAAATACCTGCAGCACACTGAACTGAGAGTGCTGCTTAGATTAGGAATAATGACCTGACCCGATAGCGGTCCTGACCGGAGAATTGAATGGAAACGTTTAAGTGGATTTCAGATCAAACATATAAACACTTGCAGTGTGTTAGAGCAATAATTTTAATTTGCTGTTTTGCACTGTAACACATTTGCTCTCAGAGTAATTTGAGTATAAGTGCAGTTTACTGTAGGGGGTGGTTTTTTGTTTGCTTGGTTTTAGATTTTTTGGGAATGATTATTGCTTGGTTTACTTTTCTCCTGATGAAGGCTAACAGTAGTCCACTGTGAAATAAGACTACATTTGCCCTTAAAAAGGAAAAGACCTTACAGTCCTCAGTGCATTGTCAGTATGTGCTGGTTTCATATGACCATGTACGTATTTGGGGCTTCAGTTATTGTCAGAGAAACTGTTGAGGAACATATGACTGGCAGACTATGGTATTTTACAAGCCTGCACACTGATAAACTGGGTAGGGAATATGAATGGGTATGAAAGCTCCATTCTCAGATAGGAGTTTTTGAATGTGTGCTCTGATTATTATGTTTTCTTTGTTTCCCCTTTTTCAGGTATTCACTTACAAACAGAGCACGATCACACACCAAAAAGTAACGCCTATGCATCAAACAAGCACAGAGAGCGTGGAAGACATGGCAGCGCTCGTAGATCTCCATGAAGGCTCCATTATGCACAACTTATTCCAGCGATATCAGCAAGATAAAATCTATGTAAGTTTCTTCCAAAATTAAGAAAAATACCCAGAGGGAATGTTTTTGAATGTGTTTTCTTTGTGTGTTCACATAGAGGTGAAGCATGCCTCATCTAGTGACTTCTCGTGAACAATGATGGAAGGAGAAGGTAGCTCAGGGCTGGCCTGGCAATCCCTTGGAGACCTTGAAAAACTGGCATGCCCAATACGCTTCTACACTTCCAGTCATAGGGTTGTGAAAAGGGCTCTTGTTTTTCTTGTCTCCTTTAGACTCTCTGCCCCAACAGTATGTGCTGTGTACGTCACCAGAGAGGATGCAGTGGGATTTAGTCTGTGACTGCTGTTTGAGATCCCATCAGGCCAAGATCCAATTCTGATCAGCTTCCCCTTTTCTGTTGTAGTAGAAAGGGATTGATATTATGATCGTCAGGCTGGGGAACTGTGCCGTTAAATACAGATAGTCAGAGTTTGGGGTGTATGAGAACAGGCAGCTGTTCATCAGTTTCAAAACCTAGGAATTAGTCCACACAAATTCTTTTTCTCTGTAATGGAGGCTTTTGTGATTAGCTTTACCTGCTCTTTAAATATTCATTAACCTTGAACTGACTAGATACGAATCTTTCCTGAATCTGGAACTACAGTGAATGTGAGAAAGACAGAAGGAATATTAGTGGCTGTTACAGGTTGTGAAATCTCCCTTTTCATCAGTGGTTCGGTGGTTAGTGTTTTTGTGTTTCTCTGGTTTTGTTTTTTGGTTTTGGGTTTTTTTTGTTAATTAATAACTGCAGAACATAAATAATTTTTGTGTGCATTACCTGTCTGGGCCCTTGATTTGGCCATATACACACTTTATTCCAAGCTTCATCTATTGAGTTTGGCTTCTTTATTTTTAAACATGAACATATCTTAATGTAAAAATAAACTTTCCCTGTATTTAGAAATGTCTTTACGATAAAAAGCAAAAAAGGGCACAAGGAAATTATGTTCTTTTGCCCATTACCATTAAGGTGGCTACTATGGGGAACCCTAAATGTTGAGGTAGTTCTCTTTACAAAAGTCTTCATGTATGTTTTTTTTTTCCTCAAAACAAAACCATTTTGCCATTCAGAAAAACTGGTAAACAAAAAAATGAATAGCATATATGAACAATCCTGCACATGCGGGGAAAAATAGCTACTTGTAAGAGTTTAATTTTCCACCAGTGTAATTAGATTAGAATATAATACTCAGTGTGAGTCAAAATAATAAAAAAATTGTTTTGAGCCATTATGTGTACTCAGATGGAGGACACTTCCCCCTTTTAAAAAGCATGTGTGTAAAAGGGGTTGATTTTTTTGAAGAGGCAAAGAATAGCTTTGTTCTGAAGAGACGTGTCCTAGCTTATTTCTTAGCTTGTCAAGGCAAGTTTAGGGTATGCCAATACTTGGTGCTCAGTGCGGTGTATGTTTCTAGACAAACAGGTTTGTGTGCTGTTAATGATGACACATCTTCAGTTGCTGCTGAATACTCATCGTCGCTTCAGTTTTGCTAATTTTACTGCTTACTCTTTTGAGTCCATCTCACCTGAAAAATGATTGAAAAGGTGGTCGGAAAAAAGGTGTGTTTTGAAATGCATATGAAAACCTCTCTGTTGTCCTAGAAATGTAACCAGGACGAGAGGAAATGGGCTTAAGCTGCACCAGGGGAGGTTTAGGTTGGATATTAGGAAAAATTTCTTCATGGAAAGGGCGGTCAAGCATTGGAACAGGCTGCCCAGAGAGGTGGTGGAGTCCCCATCCCTGGAAGTGTTCAAAAAACGGGTAGATGTGGCACTCTGGGACATGGTTTAGTCTAGTCTCCCCTTGATTGGTTTAGTGTGGACTTGGTAGTGTAGGTTAATGGTTGGACTGGATGATCTAAAGGTCTTTTCCAACCTAAACGATTCTATGATTCTATTCTATGATTCTAGGACCTGATGTAAGAAGCATCTTGTTTTCTCCCTCCTCACTGGTACCACACTCCTGCTGTGCCAATGGTAGTGTTTTAGCAGGACAGGGCTCCAGGAACAGAAACCCCAAGAAAAGCTGATTAAATAGCTTGAATAATTTTATGAAACTTCATAGATATATGAGCATGTGTTGTAGGAGGAGGTACTGTGATCGCAAAATGAACCATGTCTTTTCAAGCCAAAATCTCTTAACTGTATTAAACAGTTCAAAGATATTTTAATGTTTGATGTTAAAAAAAAAAAAGACTGAAAGTTGCATTAAGTTCACCTTTGTTGAAGGCATTCTTGCAGCTGAAGAAGTTAGGCTCCTGGTCATTCTGCTTTGGAACCAGACTAGTTCTTGTACAGGACAGCACAAGCCATTGGAGTTCATGCTAGGAGCAGTTAAAACTTTCCAGATTGTGCATTTGCCTTCTCCTTTCCCTCCAAAAAGTCCTCTCCCTTGGCGAGGAATTGCTTCATCGGTGTAGTGCACATACTCTTGTATCCACCTCGGCACCTTGGCTGTATCTGTTCTTTGTGCATTAGGGATAAATCAGGAAGGCATGTGCCCCTTCTCCACTCAGAGTTTAGGGGCTGGTCATCCCATTGAAAGACTTCTTGCCATCCCTGAATATAAACCACCATAAAATTGCCCTGTCCTAGCTTTTAGCTTACAGGTGTTTTGTCCCTCTTTACTTCAGCTCTGTGTACCTCCTTGTCCACAACCTGAGTGGGGGGAAAAGATATGCAAAGTTGTATGCTGGCATTTTTTGAGTTATATGCTTGTAGTATTACAAGCATATTTGTGTGGTTCTTGAGTCTGGCAGCTTTTTGTTAGTTTTCTCAGTGGCAATGAGGCCGGGAAGCACCTTTGTACCCTTAATGAGGAATGCACTTAATTAGGATGTAAGTTTTGGGGCTTGCTTCTTCACTCACACACAAAAATCATATGAAGTGCAGTATACTAAATTGTAGTGTGAAGTATCTATAATTTCAAAAACACAGAAGAAACAAAGAGAAATTTAAACAGTTGCTTTCTCAGGAAGACAATTATTTATGTAAATCTTCCACTGTTAATTTGTGTGTTTGTCTGTATTTGCAGAGCTCTTTCTCCAGCAATGAGCATTTAAGTAAATATCTTCAGATATTTGAGTTCAGTTTAATCTTCCTTTACTTAATAACATTTTTGTCTCCACATAATCATACCTGTGTTCCTAAACTCTTTACTACTTCCTAATTAATACTGTAAGATACTTGCTACGGATACCAAGTTTTGTCAAACATGTCATTGACTTTCTTTGCTGCTGCCAACAACTGCAGCTATAAAGGGTCAGCAGAGGATTTTCTATATTTCTTACTGTTTTTTTGGGGAGGGAAGAATATCGATTTAGGATACAGACTATGTTCCTAGCATGAATGATGCCTGGCTCTGTACTTAATGAGTTGAGGCTCTTAGCTGAATCTCTGCTCTTCGCGAGAAGCTGAATAATAAAAGTTGTTCGTGTCTATGTGCAACCATCTTTTTGTATCAGTGTCATGTCTGTTAACGTCTGCTTGTGATACTTTTTGTCTGAATTTCCATAAAAGAAAAGAGTGTGTGTTTTCCCTTTTTGGCCTGTGAGAGGCATGGGGTGTACATGCCCTTTCTTGATTACTTACAGCAGGCTCCTGTCTGGTATTTTTTCACGTTTCTTGATTAATACTGCTTTGGTTTAAAAGTTTGCTTCTGGGCTATCACCGCTTCTGTTACCCAGGAAAGGAGCAGAGTTAGGATGGCCGTGATCGTATGTTGCAGGGGTTTTCATCGCTATTTCCTTCCCCATTTTACTCTGTCAGGAGCAACTTGATATGGGAGATCCAGCTTCTGAACATCGGTATATGAGCTTTAATGTCTGTCTGTGAATGCTCAGATTAGCTTGTGTGCTAGGTTGGTATGTGGCGAAATATGGAGAGATAAACACCAGTGCTAAAAGCAGAAGGTGCCCACATTTGAAAATGGAGCCTTTTGTGAAGGCAAATGAGGGATTTCGTCGCCTTTGAAGCAAGGCCAGCACGGGGCACACGATGTGGAGAGGGGAAGTGCTGTGGCGGCTGTTCTTGTCGCTGCTCAAAGGCGAGTTGTTCCCAAAGCTGTTGATTCTGGTTTACTTTCAGTTAAGTACACATTGCGGAGGAGACTGGCTTAGCCTTGGAGAGGACGCCGTGAACCACACCGTGTGGCTTGTGCTGCAAGACGCACAAATTATGATGTACGAGCTGGCTCCGGGATGAGCTGCGGTTGTCTTGTCTCTGTGGCCAGCGGTTATTTACTGATGCAGGCTTTTGCTGAGGTGAGAAGCGGGTTGGAAATAACTGCAGTATACATTGTTCAGGTCAGGATGGAGGTTTTCACCATCAGATCCACCCTCGTTTGCCTGAGTTCAAGCAATAAACAAGTTTCAAAGCGCATCTGATTAGCTTTTCCCTTTTGAATTAAGCTCTGAAGTGCCAGGTAGGCACGTTCCCTTTTGAAGTGGTGATGATTTGACGCGTGCCCGTCTTGTTTAGGTTGAGAACGTGTACCCGTGCCCAGAGAGGCGTGGGGTGGGGTGGGGTGTGGCGGTCCCTTGGTCACCCTCCCCTGATGGGGAGTGTGGCCTCCAGGTGGTCCAGCAGTTGGGTGCGGTGGCCAGGAAGGGTGAGAGAGAACATAACCTATTTTTGCTCACTTTCAAATTAGGACTGCAGCCTGCCCGCCAATAATTATAACCATCTGTTAGGTTTGTGCGCATATGTATAAAAACTTCTGTACCAGCCACGTAGACATGTACTGCTGTACCAACCGCATCCACATCAGAGGGAGGATGATGGTAATTAGGAGCTCAGTTTTCATGGCTGGCTTCCTTTCTCTCTTCAGCTGAAGCAACAAACATGGAATAACTTGGATGAGAAAGCAACATTTCTTCTGTTTTTAAAACAGTTGTTAAACTAGAAAAGTTGTCTCTTCCCTGACAAGGTTGCTTGCAGAGCTCCTAGCCATTTCATTACACTGAATGCTCAGTTATCTGTTC